TTAGATGTGTAAATACATATAAATCACTAACATCTTTCCCATTATATTACTGTTATGTAGAGTTTTTTTTATTTTTTTTTATTTTAGTATATTAAATGTTTTGCGTGTGACCGAAATGATCATTTTTTCACAAACAGCTATAAATCAGCAGTTTTCAAACCGTATAAATCAAACAACTTAACAACTTATACAGTTTAGGAGCAGAATGATCATTTATCCAGAAACAGATGCAAATCAGCTGTTTTACAAACACACAAACCAAACAGACAAACAACTTATCAGGATCAGTTGTTCATCAGTAAATTATCAGGATAAATTGCTGCAGTTGCCCCAAATAGACCCTAAAGCAATAACTTATCATATGCAATGCAGTAATGCTTCACCTCCTTTAGTTATGAAATTGTTGGGATGGAAAAAAATTAGATTTAATTGATTCACAACCAACTCACTCTACGGAAAATACACCGATTTGAGAGATTTGTAACAAAAATTAAATAGAAGCACACAACACAAGAAGTCCAAAATGAGAACTTTGACAAACCTGAGAATGAGAATAGATCAGGAAATCACACCACATCAAAAAAAATTCATTATGAAAATGAGAGATGTATATAATTACACCACACTCATAGTTCCTCTCTACACTTCTGGGACATACAATAATTCAGGGCGCTCTTTCCTATTTTGGTCGCACAAGAGAATTCACTGAAATCTACCCTCAACTCGCAAACACCACTCTACGCAACTTCGCTCTTGTTACGCATGCTACTGAGAGACTTCCGAGAGAGTCAAAATTCATATGAAACAAATTCTTAAAGTCCTAACTTGAGAGAAATCGCTCCATATTGGAGCGCCACTCATGGAGGCCGCATTTCCATTCACACAGGTTGGAGTAACGATTCGAGCACCGTTGCGTCCCTCTTGGGTGTTGGAATGTCTTCTGCTCTGTTTATGGACTTGGAAACGATCAACTCGCGACACAACTGTGCTCTGAATGTGAGCTAGACTTTCCAGTGCTTAGTGCACTAGGTGTCTGGAATCCCTTTTGGCACAAGGGTGCCATTAATTGGTGCAAGAGCACCCGATCCTTTCGATTGGGACGTTGTGGCACCCCTAGTAGCACCGAGGCGCCCCCTATGGGGTGCTGGAATGTTGGAATGCCTGCAACACTTAGGCTCTACACTGTGTAACACACATACAATCAAAATGTTATTATTTTCTAAATTACAAAAAACCCTCTTTATTAAATTACTTCATAAATAAAGTGAGCTACCATGCCTTGAATCTTATCATAAAACTCATAAGATTTGAGGTAACATGGTTGCAATCAAGCTTTAGAATATTAACCTTTTATGATATATCAAAAAGATTGATTAGGTATCCTATTCTTTATTATTATTTGTCAAGAGTGCAATACATGATATTTTCTATTTCTTTTTTAGTTTGCTAATAAATCATTGTGCGTGTAAGAGAGAGAATATATCACACTAGATAATAGTTGTGCCAGACAACACACAATTTCTTTGAGGTGGCGACATCTATGGCCTAATTACACTTGTGCTTGAGTTCTAGAAACTATTTCTTAATATCTTATGAATCCTTTATATTTTCTCAATATTTATGTTGCTAGAGTCATGAAATTCAATGCAGAAGAAGAACCTTTATAATGTAATGCCATTTCTCTTTGGGCTTGCTAGCAATATTTTAGTCTATATTAATGATTTATGATTGATAAAAATTTTAAAATTAAATGATGTTTGATTCTTTTAGAAAATTAATATATTAAACACATTTAGAAATTATGATGAATCTTCACATCAATAGATGATGTAATTAGATATAGGTCCCAAATTTATAGATCAATGCCAATAATAATTTTAAATGGATAATCACATCTTGGTAGGGCATCCTAAGATCATCATCCATACTAACCTTTAATAGTTTGCTATATTTATACTAGGAGTCAAAATTAGTGTCTAAAATGATATTTATCAAAATAGATTGATTCAATGACAACTAAGATGAAAAATGAGAACCTCATTTTTTGTCCTACAATGGAAAGATATTCCAAGCAAAATTTAGCCAAACACCTTTTTGTTCTCATAGTTATTTAATGATTGAAACATAATATTCATATATTCTTGCAACAACTTTAAGATAAAAAATCTGACGCATTAATGGCTAGGCCATAGAGCGAAGTACAATTAGACCAACTCAAAAAAAAACTAAGTAAAAATTTAATTCTATCACCTCTCATAGGTCGAGTCACATGCTGTGGATGAAAGGACAGTTCCTGAAGACATGATTGATAGGGAAGAAAGTAGACAACTATCACCAAATCTTAATTTTAATATTGTGCACACTATCCTTTCATTTGTACTGTACAATTTACGACACTATTTATGCCGATTGATGATTACTATTCCTTACTAAGAATCCCTTATAAGCTAAGCAGAAGTAACACTTGGAGAGGCCTGCTAAATAAGCATACATGTAATGGTGGAAGCATAAATTACGTGAAAGTATATCTTTATAAGAAAAAATTTAATTATGATGTTGAATCGTTGTATGAATCATACCTAAATAATAGTGTAGAAAATATGTGTATGTGTGTGTGCGTGAAAGAGAGAGAGAGAGAGAGAGAATATGTGTGTGTGCGTTGATTTGCGTGTGATTTATGCATAAAGGTTAGCGCATAAAAAGTTACCCTACCTAATATTTAACTTGTCGGTCACAGACCAAACGAATGTCATAAATCATATAGTTTATATAACCGAGCCCCACCGTCAAGTAGTATGTCCATCTCTCGATGTGATTCATTACTTGTGGTGTTGTATTTAATCGTTTAAACTACTAGATGTATATGATATGTCCGGTCTCATGTGTTTTCAAAATTAAAGAACAATTTTAAAAAATCAAAATTATATGCATATTAAACTAAATTTTATTTTCCAAAAAAAGTTGACAGATATGGTTGCAGTCAAATTACAAAATTATTTTACTGTCACGACCGCAGGCCGCATATTCCCCAATGACTTTCTACTATTTGAGTTGTGAATCATAAGAATACAATTGATTGACATAAAACCTTGTGTTGGCTAAGGTCGACTTAAATTTGTCTCTTTTGACAAACATTCACCCCAGATCTACAAGGATATCTTGGATGATGCAACCCATGACTGCTAAGAAGAAGCCTTCTGTCAGGTTTGGTCGACTACCTCCTCTGACTAAGTAGATCAGGGACCACGACAGCTCAGGATAACAAAACCATGGGATCTTAATCTGGTTTCGTCTTCATTCCCCCACCATCCGCTTCAAGCTTCATGTGATGAATTTTACAAATTGAAATACTAAGTTTGTTGCTATTATATGTTAAATACTAAATTCTTAATGACTATCCTTAATTCAAAGTGCCCTCCCGTTATAAAAAGGGAAAATTAACCATAAGGGCTTGCGCCTATGAGAAACCTTGACCCCATATCAAAAAATTATCGCTAAATGATGGTGAAATCTCTGGGTTGTGTCTTACCTACAATCTAATCTGTCTTCTAAAAATTTGAACCTTCTAAGTTCTCTCTCAAAATAAAAATAATTGCAGAGAGTTGTCATGTGGAACGGTCTAGAATTTTTGGAGCCCACAATGCTGAGTTGGGGATGCCGATCGACTCTGGTTCATTTTCGGTCATTTGGATTTCACTAGACTAACTATAGTCAATCGATCGGTCGCTTTACTCCAGCTATCAACTATCGACCCCTAAATAAAGAGCTCTTGTTGTCAGGATTAAACTAGGTTGTAGAGTAAATGGTGAATCACCGTAATTCGACAGATAGCTCGCTCCTTGACAAAATGTCCCTTTTAGGGTATTTGCGGAGTGTAACGTGATAAGAATCTTTGGCCTCATAATGAATAATCCTGAAGACTCTTATGAGGAGGTTGGTGATGCTGGGGCGAGACTTTAATTGATCTCTTCTCTTTGCTCAATTGATCTTGGTCTTCCACTCGGATGGCCTTCATTCGACCGGCTTCAGGTGCGGCTCAAAAGATTTGTATTTTGTAAATCAAGTATTTGATCACCCGATGATGTGACATTTAGTTTTTCTTCTGGGGGACATTCCTGGCCATACTTTTATGTCTCTCAGGTCCTTGGATTCCTTTGTTGTAACATATGAGCTTTTTGTTGTGCATTTTTTATTTTTATTTCTTACCAATAATATAAAATTTAATTTCAATATTTACAATTTTTGTATCAAAATATGAACCAAAAGTAAAAATTTCTTGTAGTCGTTGGTTAAAATAATTTAGATTAATTAAAAATGTCAAAGATATTTTATTACAACGTTTGTTGTGTCCCATATTGTTCATGATCTCATAGAACTCGGGAGATATGTTATTTTTTGAAGAGAGGCATAGGAAAAGGTGGTGAATATGTCACTAGAGTTTGTGTTTTCGTTTCCTTTCTAGAATCTCCAAAAATGGGCTTAGAGTTCCGGCCTTGAGGGTGATTCTCCTCTTACACATAAAAGAAAGTAAGATAAAAAATATATATATTATAAAATTACAACATGCCCACTATGTCTTGACACGAGTGTTAGTCGGCACCATACATAAGAATGATCACATGTATTTTTATATAATGATGATTTTCTTTAGTAGTGAATTTGCCCCAAAGTAGTAAGACCACTTGGACAGATAGACTCAATTCGACCACTTTGACAAACATGCTTGACCTACTTCATTGATCTTCCCATTTTATTCATGTATAAACATTTCTCAAATATGTAAGGATGTCATATTTACTTCAGAATCAGTACTCTTTGAATTTTAGATGAAAAGCACAATCTAACTAGATCCAAATAATTATTATGCCGGACATACGGACTTGACATTATTGTCTGTTTATTAGAGAATTTATTTAATCAAGTACTGTAACAAGAATATAAACAAATTGCAATGAAAAGTAAAAAAAAAGAAAAAAGAAAAACTACCATGTTTTCCTTCCTTTTATAATTTTTATTTCTTTATTTTTGGTGAATTTCAAATATGATAAAAATTTTAATTTCAGCATCTGTTTCAGATACTAAAATGCAGCAGAAGAGCTTTTAGCTGGAGATTGTGTGATTTCACTAATCATCCTTAATGCAACGCAAGGTTGGTCCACTGGCACCTGAAAAAGAAAAAAAAAACAAAAAAAAAAGACAACAAAATTAGCTATGACAATCATGATTTCTTCTTTATTATTTCTACTATAACTTGTAACTGAAGTTTATTTTATCCCATCGGCTAAAAAATTCTATCTTTTCTTGATTCAAATCAGGTTTGTCGCCCTAATTTTGAGCTAAACATAGCATAAGATCAATTTTTAAGACAAATGTGTGGTCCAACATGATGCAATATAGATAAATGCATATAGAGAGGCATAGATGAACTCAACAATGCAAATATATTTACAGCATGCATGCACAATATAAGTAGAGAACCAGAGATATTGCAAATTTAAATAATGGCTTACGAAATGCCCTGCTTCCAGTATCCAATAGAAATGCAGATTGCTGTAGGACTTGAAAAATCCTCTTGTAACTATCTCGTTTTCACAATATATGGGCTCTCGCTCTACATTATTAAATTTTTGCAAGCCTTTCCATCTGAGAAAAACCAAATCACGACACAATTAATCAAGCTAAAATATATACATATATAAGCTTAAAGTAAGAAGATGAGGCTAGAGTGATGGTTAATTCCTTTACTTGAGCTTCTGGACCCAAGCTTCCGTGCCCTTTGTTGCACAAATCAGATCAATCTGCAATAATTCAATTTGAAGTGTTTAAATAAACACACAAGAGGCAAAAGGATTAATGGTCCATTTGGGGGAAGTTGTCGCTGTTTGAAGGATCATCTATGAAGCCGCTGCAAAAAAAACTGCCGCTTCAAAAGCTGTGGTGGCTACTATAATTTTTTTTTTCCAAAATGTCAGAAAGTGGCTTTCTAGCAGCCACCACACTCAGCCAGATCATATTGCAAAACACGGCTTTCCACCACAGATTTTTGAAATACAAGAAAAACTCAGTTTTGCCGAAAAAAAAAAGGTTCGGTGCTGCACTACATCACCGCCCCAAACACACCCTAAATCGCATGAATCGTGTGACTTCTAAGCTGAGAAATAACTACTTGTTTCAATCTTATACACTTGTTTCAGATTTGAAAGAAGACACGCTAACGGATGGCATTTACATGCATGCCACACAATTCTTATGTATTTACCTATATAATACATAAACATTCATATTAAATGCATACCGTACTCAAATTTCTAACATCACATCAAAATACTACGATGATTATCTTTCTAAAACTCATATACACCATTTGATACATAAGTTTATGACACCCAATTGTTATATATAAATAGGAATTGTGTAGAATGTATGTAAATTTCCCTAAAAAAATAAGTTAAATTAATGATTACACAGATGTGGATAAACTTTTATATATAAGTTAAAATTTTATATTTGACACAATTTATGTCCAGTCAAGAGTTTTTTATTTGAATAAGATATTGATATTAGATTAATGAATTTTATAAACAATATCTTATATGTAGATAATTTATTTTATAACTATTTATAACTGGATAACAGGATTAGTACCATTAGTACCAAGTGATGGAGAGGCATATCTAGCTAAACTAGGAACTTGGGGCCTTCTATTTCTTTGGATAGCTAATAGAGGAATGAGTGAAGAAAATTCCTAAATATTGCAAATTTGTAATAACCATCATATGGTAGGTTTAAAATAAACTACAAATTCAAAAATTTTCTACTTGATGGGGAAGAAAGAGCTAATATGCATACATATATTAAAATTTTAAAATACACTATTATATTCATATCTATTTGTGATGATGTTCAAATCCTCTCTAAAATAAAAATTATGATTTCTCGACCAAATATTGGACGTCAGAAAATAAAAATAAAAATAAAAATATGTCTGAGAAAGAGAAGGTTTGAGAGAATTTTTGTTTTTATGAATTTTTTTCCTTAAAATGGCTTCTTGGTCAGGGAAATGGACTACTCAACATAGTTAGGGTAACAAGTCTCTTCTTTAATGATGTGAAGGTTAGTGCTTCAGTACTCGAGGGATGCTTTGTATGATTGAATTTAAAGAACCTTTAATGCCTCTTCTTTTGAGATTTCTCTATAAACCCATTTTTCAGTTCCTTGGTCATCCTCATGATTTACCCTCCATTTATGAAAGTTGTTTGTTGGTCATGAATCTATAGTTACTACATTACAAATGTTTCTTTGTTAAGGTGATCATCATATGGTATCTAATTTTCTGTTATTGATATCAATTCACATTCGCCTTATCTAAAAAAGATGTAAAATATAAATCTATTAGTGGTCAGTCTCAAACCCTACTTACTATGAGCATAGAGATCCAAGAGAAACTTAGAAGAAGGAAGCCAAAAGCGGAAAACTTTGGGTGGAGTTTTATTAGCGTATGCTATGAGTTTTGCCCATTAACTTAAAACCTTTTGATCCCATATTTATAAGATATTGAGCACCAAAGAGAGATCAAATTTAAATTTGATGCTTGAATACATAACATATCCATTACATAAATGGGAATGTACTGATTTGAATACATATGAAATGTTGCTTTAACGAGTGCTTTTTAGATCTTATCAATTGAAGAAATGTAGTCATTTTCTCTAAAGAAGTTTCCTTTTTATCTTAGAAGGTGGGCAAGTGCCCTTAAATTTGGGTGAGTTCCCTCTTAGTATTGTTCTTTTGATCTAATCTTGTGTCGTTTAAGCTTGAGCCCTTAAAAATTCGGTGAATGTCTTCCAAGTTTGCACTCATAGAACAGAGCAATCTTAAAAGCCTTATATCACTGATTCCTAGCAAGTTTACCTAGTCTCCTCATCTAATAAATAGAAAATGCATGTGTCGAGTAGCCGTGATAAGTAAAATAATAATATTTTAGACAAAAATTCACAAAAAATGTATATTAATAATTAATTTGCTTAAATTCTCTTTTATATATATATATATATATATATATATATATTTATGCCAAATTATAGTAGCATGCAAACTCTTATTGATTTAAAATGCATATATATATGGATGCAACAATGCTGTGACAAATATCTAACCTTGTCTATGTTCATATTTATATAATGTTCATTTTGTGTGGTTCATATCTTCGTATTAGTATCTTCCATAATATAGTGTAAGTCAACTTCAGTATAATAACAGAGGATATTTCCGTTGGACCGCGAGAGTTTAAAAGGAGGCCCTACATCTTATCTTGGATGTATACAATTAATAACGAGTAGAGAACCGGTCTGCAATAGATCTGCATTTGTGTCTGTTCCGGAACTAAAGGCTGAGTTAAACTAGAACCACTAAGAATATCAAATCTGATAAGTCTATATATATATATATATATATATACATATATATATTGTTATTTTGTTTGAAATGTGACAATTGGTTTTATTTTATAATATATATGTTGTTATATTGTTTGAAGTGTGACAATTGGTTTATTTTATAATAATAGTCTGTTAACTTTTCTAATTGCTTTTCACCATAATTGTGCAAAAAAAATAATTAATGAAAAGCATAGATTTATTAACATTTCCTATTTAAATTTAATTTATAATATAGGCAGTTAGGCTCCGTTTGAGAACACTTTAGACTCCATTCGGTTGCACGGAGAAATTTACCAAAGGGAAAAGAGAATTTTCGGAACGTCTCCAGACGTTATATCAGAAGAATGCCAAAATTTCGCCGTTTCAAAACAGAGAAGACGAGTCCCATTTCACCGCGCGATTTTTGAAGGAGCTTTGCCTTAGTCTTTAATATAGGCACAATGAAAAATTACTTTATCATTAAACTAGCTGCTTTAAAACAATGAATTCTTCATCAGTCAAACCGCCTAAAAATTTAGTATGGTTTAAAATAGAAAAACTTGAGAATGATAAACAATTAAAAGATCTACATGCATAACATTGAAATTTTCTTTATTTAAAATCATCCACATCTTTACATTCACTTGTATAACGTCCTAAAACCTTTAAATGGCATTAAGATATGTGAATAAAAATGTGAATCACTTTAGGTAAGCTAATATTAGTACCATTTTTTATGTTATTTAATACTATGAAGTCATATTAAGAAATAAAAATATTTAGTATGTAAATCATCCAATAACTAAATAAGTTCATATTATTCTCCTTGATGCTTTCCTATTGTTCTTCATACTATTTATTGTTCTTTCTATATTCTCATAGATTTCCAACACTGAATTTCTTTTAGCTTTTCTCATTTCTTTGATTCCTTGAAATATTTCTACTTACAAGGCATTTCTAAAACCAAGAAATAAAAAAAAAAAATTGCACTATAATCCAAGTAGCTACTTGCTTCCTATATTGTATGGTCACAAGGAATTGGCATTGTGCATCTCATTATGAGAAGGTGAAGGGTCTCCCTCACTAAAATGAGTGCTCCATGTGCAGTTGTTGATTTCAGAATTTCACAACCACGTGATGTCCCTAAGAAAATTTTCACCTACTAAACAATGATTTTAATTAAGGAAAGATAATTTGATTCATACCTGTCCGCTGTAAATTGTTACATTGACTCCCATGGACAACAGCTCATCAACCTATAATTTACAAATCACACCAATTTTATTTGCAAACTCATATTGAAAACAAATTCTAAGAATAAAACAGCAATTTTACCTCATTTATTCTTGGCTTCATGAAATCACCCTCCAAAGAACCGAAGACCAGATCAGATTGTCCACCCCAGCTGTAACAAATAGCTAATTGTTTAATTCAAATGAAAACAAAATTAGAAGATTAGTTATGATAATATGGATTAAGAGAAGAATCCACCTCACATTCTTGGGAATTATCTTCAGCTTCTGCTTGATGACACCATTCATGAGATCCTCAAGACTGTCCGTAGAAATAGCCTTGGAGGTCAGATATCTTGAGTACCCTCTCATGGTCATCCTCACCGCTGCCGTCCCTGCTGCTGTCGTTGATGCGGCGCTCGTCACAGAGAGCGGATCCATAGCTGCATCGAGCAAAAAATTGTAGAAGTCTACGGAGTTGCTATTTTCACTGATCACATCTTCAAGTTGGCTCCACGTGTCTGTTGCTTCTTTATACTTCCCTTCTGAAATTTGCTTCTGGATTACTTTAGCTAAGCTAATCAACATAAGCAATAGATTATTAGATTAGTTTAGTGCAGAGATGAAGAGATTACTACTTCAAATGAACTGTAAATTACTTGTTAGATTTCTCTACTCCATTGATGTCAAGCCTCGAGAGATCTTTAAGCAGTGGCCCCCAGGATAACTGAAACATGTTATGTATGATTCTATTTGATGGCTAAGCACATTATGAATAAAATCATAATCACAGTTGACAAAATTAACACTAAAGCAATATTTTTATAAGAAATAACACTGCTATCTTGCTAATTTTGAACTTTCCAACCCCTTAACTAAATAAAAAATGCATTAGAAAGCCAAAACATATAACAGTAGAGCAGAACTTGCTGCATTACATGAACACTAACCACATAATCTTCTGGGGAAATCCAACTATCTCCTAGCGCTACTCCTAATAAAAAATGATTCAGATTGTTAACGAATGAAATTGCGCCATCAGAAGAAAATAATAATAAAAGAGAGATCATTATTGGTCGAAACAGTTACCACCAAAGGTAAGATTCAATTGCCCAGATTTTATAGCTTTCACAACTGACAAGCCAAGAGTAACAGCGAACTTCCCTCCATAAGACTCTGCTACAGCATAAAGAGGGCTTTTTTGAAGCCTTTCATTATTATTGTAGAGTTTCTTCAGAAGAATGGTTAAATCGCTGGCTGCCTCCTCGTCAGTCTTCACAAGAGAGGAAGTATTCTCTACAAAGCTATACCCAGTCCCAGCTGGATTATCCTGTAATTTTAATTCATAAAAATTCTAACTCTAATTATAAAAAAAAAGTTTTTTTTTTCTTCTTTTTTACTTACCACAAAAAGAAGATCAGCTCTTTGCAGCCAAGTCGAATTCCGAGGCTTCAGATTGGTATCTAACGGTCCAACCTCTTGAAAGTTTCCAATACCAACACCTGAAGCTCCCTTCCGTCATCATGAGCCCTAACCAAGTCAGCCAAGTTGAAAAGAAACAAGATAGGATTTTTATAATTCAAAGTAACTCACCGGCCCTCCCTGCAACCATAACACAGTCGGCCATGGAGTCGAACTGTTCTCCACTCTCTGCGCACTCCGGTACAGCCACCAGAACACATGCACCTCTGCATTGCAGAAAAATAAAAACTCAAACTAGATATGAAAAATATCAACTTTTTCTAATTCATCAAGGAGAACTTACTCGGCCGGACTTCGACGTAGCCCCATTCCTCTGATCCGTCTGCCGTGCCGTATACTTTCGAAGGTCTCAGAGAACTTCCATTGAATTGGAGAAAGCAGAGGAGAAGGTTAAGTAGGAACAGAATTGGCTTTTCCATGGAATTGGGGAGAACTAAGAACGTTAACAAACCCCTCTTCCTCTCTATTCAATTATGGAAGAAAACAGAGAGGAAAACTGGGTGTTTTGCAGTTTTGGTATTGGATGGGGATGGAGAAGGAGATTCGGCAAATAAAGAATGAAACGAATCGAAAGGTGGGTGGGTATCGGCAAAGATTGAAATTTATGCTGTGAAGGCTTTTATTAACGATTTCACTTTTTCCATATATGCGGATGAAATGGTTTCAGGGTTCAGTGAAGCATGGAAATAGAAACGAGATTGCGTGCGGAGAAGGTCAATGCATCGCAGAGAAGAAAAGACAAGGTGTCAACCTGCAAAGTCTCATAAAATGGATGAAGTTTCTCACTCCACTTTTTTTTTTCCCCCCGTTTTTTAGTTTGTTTATTTATTTACTAAGTCCATAATCAAAACATAAATGAAGGTAAAATTTACATTCCTTTTATTCGTTGGGCTGTTTGGCGGGCACCATTAGGAGTTCAATGCATTCCTAATTTTAAAATTTTGAAAGTTATTTTCTGGGAAATAAAAAATAACATTGAATTTAAAATTCATAATTTGGGGTAAATTTAAAACACACAACTTAATGTAATTATTCGGTATCACCTTGCAGATTGCCACCACTGCAGTCGCCGCCAGGCTCCGCCCACTTGCTGCCTCCCGCCCGTCAGTAATTATCAGTCACTGCTGACCACACAACGACAGTCTTTGCTGACCACCATTGATATCTAGTACTGAAGATTACTGTTATCGTTGCTGGTCACTGTCGTTGTCAAATAAACACTACTTTGAAATACATTATTTTCATTTTATTTTAAAATTAAACAAAAAATAGAGAAAAAAGTTCATTTATTTTACACCAAACAAAACAACTTCAACATAATTTAAATACAATATATTACTAATGCATTGTATTTATTTTATGTTGTATTATTTATTCACCAAACCAAACAACAGTTAAAGTGATAAAATTTGAGCAATTCCATAATTGCTCAAGGCTTTATTTATTTATTTATTTATTTTGTTAATTAGAAGCCCTTTTTATTTTTTTTAACTCTGATGTTAAAATAATTGATTTTATAATTATGTTGACAGCTTCTAAAATCTTAACCATATGTTAATTGACAACCACATTTTTTAGTAAGAAGAATCTCTTATAGACATATAGCCGCTAAAAGTTTAGTAAACGGTGAATCTGATTCCATGAACTAGAATTCTGATGCAGAGAATAATCCCGCATAGTTTGTAGTTGTGAGATCTATGCGGTAACCGCTGAATGATTGCCAATTGTTCTGATGTTTCTAATTTTGGGCATTTATAAACATTCGCACAATTCTTATGTATTTAAATCTCTAGCAAACATTCTTACTTACAAACATGGTATTTAAATTTTTAATACTACATTAAAAATATTACCTTTGACTACTTTTTCAAAGTGAAATGCATGTATAACATCAAAGCCTTGCTTACTCGAATATTCGCCGCAATAGAGTGATATATATTATTTCAGTATTCTATGAAAATACAACACACACACAAATGATTAAAAAATAGTGGGAGAAAACATCAATATTTTTATGTAGAAAAATCTTGGAAGAGAAAAAACCACGAAGTCTAACCTAGGCAAATTCATTGTATGATCGTTAGTACGAAAGTCAACTCTTCTCCTCAATTGTAAAATATGAATTTATAATATTCATAATAACAGATGTACAATAGTCTTCTAGCATTAATATGCATGATTGAACTACAATAAATATAATTCTTGTCAATATTAGCGATGAAGGGCTGCAAAAGTCATAGTTAATTGATACAAATACAATATTTCGTCATAAAGATCAAAGTCGATGGTTGTAATAGTTTCAATTGATCGTGAAGGTCATAGTTAGACGTTGCAGTAGCAGTTGGTCACATAGGTCGTAACTTGTCACAAAGGTTGTAGTTGGCACCTGCAGAAGCATCAGTTGGCCATATGTCGCAAAGGTCATAGATAGACACTACGATGGCAGTTGGCTACATAGTCGTAATTGGTCACATAAGTCATAATTGATTGTTGTAGTAGCATCAATTAGCAATCGACTAAATTTGAAAGTTGCAGTAGTAATTAGCTACATAAGATTTAGTTTATCACATAAGTCGTTGTTGGTAGTTGTAATAGTAGTTCATCATATAGATTTGAGTTGGTCACATAGGTTGTAGTTGGAAACTGTGGTAGCAGTTAACTATATAAGTCACAGCTGGTCATAGAGATCATAGTTGATAATACAACAACATTAATTGCCCTCAATGACCATAGTTGGAAGCTGAAGTAGCAGTTAGCTACATATGTCATAATTGGTAGCTGCAGTATTCTTAGTTGGATACATAGGCTGCAGTTGGACTATAATAGTGTCAGTTATCTTCAGATGTCGTAGTTGGTGATTACAACATCATCATATTGCCACAGAGGCCATAGTGTGAAGCTACAGAAGTAATTGGCCGCACATGCCATAATTAGTAGTTGCAAGAGCTTCAGTTGGTCACAGAGACCTTAATGAGAGTTGCAGCAGTAACTTGTCACATAAGGTGTATTTGACAACTGTAAATTGGCCACATAGATCGAAGTAGGAAGCATCAATAGCAACTAGCCACAAAAGTTGTAGTTGGAAGCTACAGTAATAAATGACCACTTAGACCAAGTGAAAAATTATGGTAGTAACTGGCCACGTAGGTTGTAATTGATACTACGTCAATTTGTTGATGCAACCATTCTCTTGGGTTTGTTAAGTTACGCCAAAGACAACATTTGTCTGTATACAACATACAAAAAATTATATGATATGGAGAAAGTTATTGTATTCTAAATACAAATATCAGTTGTCGCTAAAAGTTATCATTGAAACTTTGATACATTGTTATTCATTACAAAGTATACATGATACATCGTTACACAATATTCTTGATACTTCGTTACATATATTTAAGATACTTTGTCACACGTATTTGGGATACTTCGTAAGCAAATGGATTTCATCGGCGATGTGAGCAGAGGGTCGACAATTGTTGATGCCTATCGACTGCCAATGGTCAACTATGGCTGGCTGCTATGGAGACAAGATGTTTTCGCTGACTTCAGTTTAAAATAACATTGGAATTTGACCGCTAATTCTCCCTTTCTTGTGAGGAGATATAGTCTATTTATTTTAAGGGAGGGACATTTTGTTCATTTAGCAAATAATTCTCATAAACACCCGATCGAACAACGCAGCCGGTTTTCCTTTATAGTAAGGGTTTTTTTTTAATGATTTGAGGTCCTTATTGACCTCAAAATTGAATGTTTTTTAGCTCATTGTATTTCTCTCATGAATACATTTGATTTGACTATAAATATCTCAAATTTGAAATTCATTTGACTATGCAATTAAATACCCAAAGCCTTCAAATGTTGTTCCATGGCTTGATCCGTGTTTGACTAGACTACAATTGGACTAATTTTGGTATCATTTGGCTCGTCTTATTGAGATAGTCAGCTGACTCTAAATTTGCTGAAATCAAAGCTCAGCATGATTTTTAATTTGAATCAAAATATTTTTTGCTCGAAAAGCATTTTGAGATTCGTGTCGAATAATGAAATTTATTGATGATATATAACTTCCCTCTATTTTCTAGAAATTTATCTCATGTCATATGAATATAACCAAAATAATAGCAATTACAAAGAAAAATTTGGAAAGATTTAAAAATCTTGCTATTCGATGGTGTTGGTGGTGGCGCCAGTGAGAGAAGGAGCTTGCCTTGCAGGTCGTGGGTCACTGCAAATCAATAGAAGGGTCAGCATGGCCCGAGTTATCGTGGGTCGCGGGGGCAGTTCGACCTGGTGTTGTCGGGCCGCGGGATGCAAAGTGGGGGTTTTCGTGGGCTACCAGACAGGATTGGTGGCTAATGTGGCAGGACCCAAGCAATTTTGCGGGCCAAAGTGGGTGATAATTTTGCCCACCAATAAAATAATGCTGGTTTGACTTTAGGCCTAAACCAATCGATGGTGTGTGTCCCGCTTTCTCTCGGCTTCCCATGTGATGGCTTTAAAGCTGGGTATCTTTATTTTATTTAATTTTTAAACTTGAAGATTCAAAATTATAAATAAAGTGTATTTTTTTTTTGCTTTAAATTCGTTCATTAAAAAATAGAGTGGCCACCGTTTTAGCGAATTTTCACCCCCATGAATGGAATAAATATTACATCCAGTTTTTGGAGATAGGAATACGCTCGGAATCTAATAAAATCAGGCAATATGAAAATGACAGAAAAGTAAAAACAAATATTTTAGCACAGGAGAATATTTTTCTCATGTTATGTCGCGTCATTTATGATGTATTATTATTTTCTGAGAATATTTCTGATATTATAATAACATAAATAACACCAGGAAGCGACATCCGAAAGAAAAGTGGAGGAGTTTATAATTACAATTTGATTTTTTCGCGTAAATATCATAAAAATTTCACGCTTGTTCTCTCTCTTTTTTTATTATTTTTTTGGAATTATTATCCTGTATGTCCCACATCACGTGGCCTCACTCCATACATATATATATATATATATATCACATAAGTTTAGGCTCTCATTCTAATACTATCATATAAAATTTGGATGCTTTTTAACTTCTCAAATGATATTTAGAAGTCTCGTATATATATATATATATATATTGAGTTATACGTAAATTATATTTTGCCAACTGGCGGCCGAATGGCGACCTTTCTTGCTTTATAAAATTATATCGAGCCAACAAAATATTAAATTTTTTTATGATTGCTGTCTGCATCGGAAGCTACATCTATGAATTAATTTTATGATGCAAGAATCAGCTTTTGTGTTTTATTGGATATGTATTTTTTTCGACAAAAAATTATTGAGGATCTATTCGGATTCATTTTTTTTTAAATTTTTCCAATTATTATTATATTAAAAGAATTCGAAAACAAATTAATATATTTTTAGTACATGCGAAATTATGCTATATTAATTTTGCATGCTAAATCTATTTTACTTCAAATGAAAACATAAATAAATGAAAAAAACACAAAATAAAATAAAATAAAAATAAACATGCAACCCAATTCTTATGTATTTACATATCTAACATTTAAACTTCACTATTTTATATTTTCACCACTTCAAAATTTTTATCACATTAAAAAATATTATTATTTTAATTTTGAGAAAGTGAAACGCATCTTTTCATGCATAAATAATGTGATATATACAGATATAAAAGTTAAAATTTAGCTTTTAGATATGTAAATACATAGGAAATTTGCAGCGGTAGAGTAACATATATCGTCTTAGCGTTGCATGAGAATCAACACACACTTAAGTAAAATAAAACAACCAGTAATGACAACAGAAGTTTTTACCTGCAAAACCCTTAAAAAAAGAAAACCAAGAGGTCTGAGCCTGATATAAAAATCTATTATAGGTTGATGATTACAGAGACCCCTTGTCTCATAGACGAGAAAAAAAGTTACTAGGTTTTTCAAGTTACAACGTCGACTGGCGGGTTCCGATTGTTGGTGGTCGACAGTGATTGAGGACGATCGACAATGACCGAGGTGGTGTTGGACTTCAACTCCTCCTCAAAGTTTTATCTTTCTGTGAAACATAATATCAATTAATTCCATTAATTTATTTTTGAAAGTATTTATATTCAAAGATCATACCCTAATATTAGTTTTATGGACTAAGTTCTTTACTAGCATATGTTCATAATATAGAAACCCTTGCTTATTTGACACTTGACCCAGACGCTAGTGTAGCAGCCCTCAACACTTTTCACTATATTTAGATCATACAACACGTTGCTTCCAAGGAACGCCTTAGCATTTACAGAATGATCAAAAAGATTAATGTCATGATTTTTTGACAAATTTTACGTCGGTTGTCGACTACCTAACATAATCCTCTACTTTTCACAAACAGATTTGAGACCTAAAAATGATAATGTTTAAATCTATATATGGTTCTCGGTATTCTAAATCTAAGAGCATATGAGATGAATCACATAGATCCTCTACAATTTTTGCAACTTAATGAGTCACTTGGATATTAAGAATAGTTTCATTGGGATTTCATTGTCTCGTTATAAATATTATAGTTTTACTTGCTTGTACATGTTGCCACCTCCAAACAAGGGTTATAACCTTGGTTATGTTGTAGCCATTGTCACCCCTAAATCAATTTAAGCTATAACTAAAGCTGCATTACAACCATCCCATTCAAGACTTATGTTGCATGAATTCCTGTACTAAAATAATGAATTACTTGATGTTTAACTTATTTTGTGATTTTACTTCCCTTATAATTATCGCTACATCCAAACTGACATAACAATCTTGATTAGTTCACAAATTTCTCCTTCCAAGCACTTGTTGTACAATCACTTGTACCATAATCTTCTTGAAATCTATTATCACGACCTCACTTGCGCCCACACACAAACATATAGCAATCATACTTCGACCACACACTTTTTCTTCAAGATTACTTCTTGTACCCATCTCCTTCAAAATTACCATTGCTTGCATCATAATTATCACAACTTTCACATATAAGATAATTTCATTTACATCCTAATAATCTCTCCATGACCCACAATGAGCCTTGTATGCCATTGAAAGTTTTTTTTTTCTTTCTGGGAGTACAATATTGCTTGTGGCTCATTAAAACAATAAAATTCTACCTCATAAATAAACATTATTTCAATTAGTTGTTTTGCCACAAAACTCATATTATATCAAAACTAAATTAGGCATGCTAATAAAAACTCTATTGAAATAGAAACATCTTACAATTTTCACATTCTAATAGAATCACCTAAAAATGATACTCATTATACTTTTATAGATTTAAACTATATATGCATGCGAAAATACTCTTTTTCAAAAAAAAAAAAAAAAGAAAAAAAAAAGTCTTTTTTTAGTATATGTGATATATATCAACTCTAAAAGGTTTAACACGACGACCAACTAAAAACACTCTAAGAGGGCAAATTTCCTTTCAAACTATAACAAAAAGTTATAAAGAAATTCTTTAATTTAAAGCATATTAGTTGGAAAAAAAAATATAGATTATCAAAATGTTAGATTTGAACTCTCATCTTGTCCCGAAGAGAAAAATATTAAAACAAAAAACAAAGTAAAAAAAGAAGGTGCTTTCAATGTGTGTGGCTTCTTAATCTAATATAAGAAAAAATGAGCACGTCAGCTCCCATGTATATTTTTCATATCATATTTCCCATAAATATGTAACAGCAATCATTGGGCTGACCAGCTAGAAAATAAAATAAAAAAATGAATAATATTGCTGATTGAATAATAAAATATTTAATTATTATTTGTATTAATCTTAAATTATAAATAAAAAAAGTACCCGATTTGTTGGGAAAAAAATATTACGTGCGACAAACAAACGACATATCTAGACTACTATATCAACAACCTTTCCTGACAGTTATCCTAACGTGCAGTCACCACACATAATATTTCTAAACTTATTAAACGTGGCTTTTGCTTCTTTAATACAGAAGGAAACATATGAAAAAACTTATTAAATGTGCATACTTATGATTGATAGCTGCTATAAATAAGAAAGAAAAGCTTCAAAAAGAGATTTTAGTTTAACAAGAAATTGGAAGAGGTCCTGAAAAATGATTTTCGACATATCGGACTCGAAAATTTCACAAATATTCAAAATAAACCTCATTTAAATTACATTTATTTGTGACTAAATAAAATTTTTCTAAGAGATTACATTATTTCGCACATTTAAAAATCAAATTCAAACATTTATTTACTTGCCTTAACAAACAAAACAAACATAAGCTATTGCCTTTGACAGTTATATTAGCCCAACTCAGAGTATAGGTAACTTTTTCTATAAAAAAACAGAAGCTTTTATCTTCTCACAGCTGCCCTTGAAATTCATGTAGATCAGAGAGGATCAAATACAACTAAACAAATAAAATGATATCCCAATTATAGGGAATGCTATTATTTCGCACAAGAAAAAAAAATAATAAACATGAACTATATATATAAATAGTAGACGTCCCAACGTAATATTTTCTACATCTATGGAGACAAGTTTGGCGCTGCACTTTCTCCATTCTCTGAGGCATTGCTATGCTGATGTTGTTGAGTAGATATTGAACAATGTGGAACAGTCTCAGAATTCCTAAAATCCATCATCAACGAATCGAGCATAGAAGGATCATGAAAACAAGAAATTGATTGATTCAGTTGTTCATCACCTGAAATCGTCATCGACGTCGACGCTGCCGCCCCACTTTCTGCCACTTTTTTCTCTGGCACAATATCCACCAAGAAATCAAACGCCTGATGCTTTGCAATTTCTAAAGAGATGTCCCCCCTCTGCAATGTTTTTCGCTTTTCTCGATCAACCTGACACCAAGAGCCGTGGGTCAGCTCGAGGATGAAAAGTTCGCATGCTTTCGAAAAGAGCGGCGGCACCTCGGCGGCGATCATCTTGACATCTTCGTCGGATTTCATGATCTTTTTGATCCTGGCGAGAGGGAGGCTGTGGTTCTTGATGTTCTTGCCTATATTGATATCCTGGATTAGATTTACCCAGAAGGACTGGTGCCTCAAGTCGTGCTGCGCCAACTGTGGTTGCTGAACTTGCGGGGGAATTTGATATGGTGGAGGGAAGTGATAGGGAAACTGCTTAGGTAGGGCATTTGTCTGCAATTGTGGATTGGTGCCTATTATTAGGTTTGTTGGGGGTCTATTGGTGACTAGCGGCAATTGAAGTGAATCCATGGCGGTCTGCTGTTCCTGCTCGGTGCCATTCTGCATGATGATTTAAACAAACAATCAATATAATGCGGTATAAAATGATTTCTGTGTTTGTTTAAGAAATCAGAAGGATATGGGATCTTTATCGTGTAGTATAACGCTATTTTTTGTACATCAAACCTTTGCAGATTTTGGTTTATAACCTCCTCATTTGCATCAATGTTACATTTGGTGACGCATTAAAAAACAGAACAATTAACAAATCTTGATAGAAAACATGCTTAAAATAATATCTCATTCAAAAAGTAGTTTGCTGTTCCTGATTAGATGATGTGGTCAACCAATGGGTGACCTTAATCCTTATGTGTAGCTTCTGGGTTCAAACATGATTTGAATACTTTGTATTTTGCCCAACTTTGGAACTCTACTATCCACATTTCCAAACAAATAATAATCATGAAATGAATTTGAAAATTTTGATGAGTCAAATACATCAAAGATCGATAAAAAAATAGGCGCTTACATCCATACCACACATTATTTTGTGTTTAACCATCCCGGTTCTACGCAGAAACGGTTCAAAGATCGGAAGTTAATGGTTGAATCACTCCAACCACTTTTTTAAAATATCACCATCACCACTTTTTTAAAAGTGAAATATACATTGTTCATATGACACAAGATCTTATAATCATTAATATCAAACTTTGGCGGTTATATATGTAAATACATAAGGATTTCTCAATCTCGAGGAATAAAAACAGTATGAATAATTAGGCCCAACCTGGCATATTAAAAACCAACTTCCAAAACAATATTCATCTAAATCGCCAATTTGGAAGTACCTCCTCGAGCAACAACTTGGAGGTCTTATTGTTGCCAATGGCATTGAACTTTCTCAACATTCTCTCCAACTTCGGTGTCAGTCCTCCCTCTTTGCTCAGGATGATCGAACAATTGGATTTGGGGGAGCGACTGAAGAAAATATAGGATATGAGATTGGAGGGTTGAGAAATGCTATAACCTTAGCGGGAAAGGAGGAGAAAGATTGGCATGGAAGCCTTTGTTGCTGTTTATTTATATATAGTTGAACGTGTGACCCACATTTCTTTTCCCAAAATAAAAGAGTCGGGAGAGTTTGACGGACAGGAGAAGCCGGAGGCCAACTGAATGAATTTAATTTTTTTTAAATGAATTAAAATTATTAAAATATAAAACATTCGTTAATTAAAAAAGTTTTAAAACATTTGCATTGGCTAATTAGTTAGTCTTTATATTTGGATAAATTATAATATATTTAATTCAAAAATATGAGAAAAACTTATCAAACTAATTTAGAATGAAAAATGTTCTTACGATTTTATCTATAAAAATTAAAAGAAAAATCTCAATTTTTCCAACACAACACTCTAATTACTGTTTTGTCAGATAGAATATAAGAATTATCTTATTATTTAAGAATAATTATTTCGGTTGTAATTAAATTGTTTTGCTTGAAATTATCCTCTATATGATTTTTCTTTTTAATGGCCTGAATGTTCATTTGCTGTTGGATCTCAAATAACCTTGAATGAATGCTTGATAGTTTTGAATGTCTAAAAAATGTGACGCCTGTTTTTGCCTTATTAACTTGTTACTTTTCATAGATTTTAGAGAGTAAAGATATCAATTTGAGAATTGAGATTAGAGTTGTGAATTGAGCTCAATGTTTCTTGATCACTCCAAAATTGATTTGAATTTTGGCTCAGATTGTGATCCGATATAAATAAATTAGCTGAGCTAGGAGACCGAAGTTTTTTTGAGTAGATTTCATGCCGATCACAGCTCTGCTCGAAGTTAGATCATTAACATCCCTAGTGATGTTAGGTCTGTGAATTTAGCGAATTTAGCTCGAATGTCGTTAATCGCTCGAAAATTGATTCAAATTTTGGCTTGAATCGAGATTGAATAAAAATAAATAAACCGAGCAGCGAGCCAAAATTTTTTATTGATTTTTTTTTTCGAGCTGATTTTGAGCCAATCTGAGCTCTGCTCAAAATTAGATCGTTAACAGACTTAATTGAGATACACTAACGATAAAATTAATTTTCAGCCCAAGAGTTAAGGGGTCGTTTGGAATCATTTTTGTGTCTTATTTTCAATTTATTTAATTTATGTTTTTAATTTAAAATAAATTAAGTTTCACTATTTGATTAAAATATAATTTTTCTTAAAAGTATTAAAAAAATAAAAATTGTTTGATTGTTTTAGAAAAACAAGTTAGTTTATTTTTAGAAATAAAAAATAAAAAAATGTAAAAAACATTATAATAAATATATTTTTAAAACAAAAAAAAATGTAAAACTAAAAAATAAATTGATCTCAAATAACCCTAAGCTTTTTTACTTTAATTTACTGTGAAACTACTCTGCATTTTTGACAATCTTCTTCGTGAGCTACTTGTACATTAGAAACACATCTGCATGAATCTCGGGGAGATCCAACAAATAGAAGGATAAAAATACGACTAAGAAGGGCCAAAAAGAGCATAACTTTGGTCATGTTGCACTCATTGTCACCCCTAAATCAATTTATGCTATACTAAAACTACATTACAACCATCCCATTCAAGACTTATGTTGCATGCATGCTTGCATTATAGCAATGAAATCATTAAGTTTAGCTTATTTTGTGATGTTACTTCCATGATAATTATCGCTACATCCAATTTGGCATGACAATCTTGATTATTTCACAGTTATCTCCTTCCAAACATTTGTTGTACCCTCACTTGTAGCATAACCTTTTTGGAATCCATTGTCACAACCTCACTTGTGTCACGAGCATTGTCAAACACAAACAGGTTACAATCACAATTAGATCACACACTTTCTTCTAGAGTACTTCTTGTACCCATCTCCTTCAAAAATAACATCACTTGCGTCATAGTCATCACCACTTTCACATATAAGATAATCTCATTTACACCCTAATAATCTCTTCATGACCCGCAATATGTCTTGTATGCCCTTCAAAGTTTTTCTTTCTTTCTTTGAGAACAATATTGCTTGTGACTCATTAAAACAATAAAATTCTACCAAATAAATAAACATTATATTATGCATATGCATGAGTTCAATTAGTTGTTTTGCCAATAAACTCATATTATATGAACACTAAAATAGGCAAACTAATAAAAACTCTATTAAAATAGAAACATCTTAAAATTTTCATATTCTAATCGAATCACCTAAAAATTATGCTCATAATACTTTTATATAAATTTAAACAATAAATGCATATGAAAATATTATTTTTCAAAAAAAAAAAAAAGAAACCTTTTTTTATCGTATATGTGATATATATCAACCCTAAAAAGTCTAACACGACGACCAATTTAAAACACTCTAAGAGGACATTATTCCCTTGAAACGATAATTAAAAGTTATAAAGAAGTTCTTTAATTTATAGCATATTATATAGAGTATAAAAATGTTAGATTTGAACACTCTTCTTGTCCTGAAGAAAAAAAAAACGAAAAAAAAAGGAAGGTGCTTTCAATATGTGCAGCTCATTTAGTCTAACATAAGGAAAAATGAGCACATTTGCCTACCATGTATATTTTCCATATCATCTTTCCGATAAATATGTAACAGTAATCATTGGACTGATCAGTTAGAAAATAAATTAAAAAAAAAGACTAATGTTGCTGATTGAGTAATAAAAGTATTTAATTATTATTGTATTAATCTTAAATTATAATTAAAAAAGAACCTGATTTGTTGAAAAAAAATATTACGTGCGCCAAAGAAATGACACATCTAGACTACGGTATCGACAACCCTTCCTAGCAATTATTCGGACGTGCAGTCGTCACACATAATATTTTCCGGACTCAAAGAGACCGGCTTTTGCTTCTTTAATACAAAATGAAACATATTAAAAAAATATAAAATGTGCATATTTATGATTGATTAGGTGCTAGAAATAAGAAAGAAAAGCTTTAAAAAAAGATTTTAATTCAACAATAAATTGAAAAAGAGCCTTAAAGATGATTTTGCACAAACTAGACTCGAAAGTTTCACAAATATTAAAAAAAAACCTCATTTAAATTATATTTAGTTGTGACTAAATAAAAAATTTTAAAAGAATTCATTGTTTCGCACATTTAAAAATCAAGTTCAAAACATCAATTTACATTCGCCTTACATAACAAATAACACAAACACAAGCTATTGCCTTTGACAATTCTATTGACCCAACTCAATGTATTGGGAACTTTTTCTATAATTAAAAACATAAGCTATTATTTTCTCACAGCTGCATTTCAAATCCATGTAGAATAGAGAATCAAAATACAACGAAACAAATAAAATGATATCCTAATTATAGGGAATGCTATTATTTCACACAAGTAAAAAATAGAAAACTAAGATGTAATATATATATATATATATATATATAT